GGTTAGAATATATATTTAGTTTTATAATTGATATTTATTTTAAATTAGTCTTTATAATTAACATTGACATTTTAATCCTTACAAATTAATCTAATTTATGAATTATAAATTATAATCTAACATGTAAAGACTAAATTATAAATTTTTTCATGTAGGAATTAAATTAAAAAGTGTGTCAAGTACAGAAATTAAATTTATAATTTAACTTAGTTCTATAATAAATTTAATAATTAAATTTATTAGAACAAGTTAAAAATATCTTATTTTAATAAGATATTTTTTGAAAGATTGTTAAAATAAGATAAAAATAGGTTATGATAGTCATAAATTATTTTTTTATAAATTGTTGATAATTTTTCTAAACAAATTATTAAATAATTGTAGATACAATGTATATCTCCCAGGTGGTTGTACTCTAAAAAGATGGAACGAAGACTTAAATTTTATTGACTACTATGAAATTGCTTTTAACATTCCTCAACATTCAATTCTTTCCTCATTTATTCTTTATACATTTATTTAAGGCGGTTTTTCTTTTAAACCTCTTAGTGAGAGAAGTCCGAAGAGACTTTCAAGGAAGAATGTTTGAGTTGCAAGTCAGGGAAGCTATTGAAAGATTTTGATGATTGTTGTAAAATTCCTTGAATTCAGCGAAAAAATTTGATCACAGTCAAGAACTAGAAGTAGTTCATATTGTTAAGGGTGAATATGTTTATTTTGTCAAATAATTGGAATTTAGTTGTGAAATTTGATGAGAAAAAGTGTTACAAATCTATTTTGAAAAAGGTTTTATGAAGCACTAAAGGCTACATGATTTGACCTTTACTAAATGATTGATAACTAAAGAGTTTCTAAAAGTTTTATTCTCTCTGAAGGCTTCATTTAAGCTCTTGTGCCTGTGATGAAAGATTGATAAACCTCTTTAAAGGAGGTTGACCCTTCTTTGTCTAGTAGTATAACAACGTTAGTGGTGAGAATGATTCTGCCGTATTCCCATTAATGGTGTTGATGTTCATTTTCCTAAAACTAGGACCAGTTGCTTCACCAATTTTTTCCTTCTCTTGCTAGAAACGAGTCTTCCTTCTTTGATGCTTTTGTTTCTAACCAAGATAGGGATAGACCATGGCAAAAAGCACTTGAATACCTAAATTGGTAGATATTCTGTGTGCAAGAGGATGCAAGAATCATGTGTACCAATGTTTGTGTGTTGTCCCTTCTTATACCTCGGATTGTGTTGTGTTATCCCTCACTTGAGAGATTCTTGAGTGCAAGAATATTCCAACATCTCAAAATTTTAGATGCATAAACCATCCTATTCATGACTCGAATTAAAGCCAAAACAATAAGTATAAATATAAATATTTTAATGACTAAAAGTTGATATTTATTTACATATAACTAACACTTAAAAGACACTTTCTTTTTCATAGTGATGTGTATTTTATGTGCGCATTGTCTGTATCCCATACTGTTAATACGTGCATCCCCTATCAAAAGCAGTTCAATGTACAGTCACCTTCTTTTGTTTTTATCGTCTCCATATTTGACCAAAAGCACACTTTATTAGCCAAATTCGTGTCGCCAGCTAGGATACCCCACCACTCTCTGCACGTGCCTACCTATCCCTATTCATTTTCTTCTTCCTCTGCCCAACTTCACCTTCCTCTGTTTTTTCTTCAAACCAAGCAAAGGTTTTGAATTAGACACAGTATCTTAATCTTTTTTCACATCCCTTTGATTAACTTTTAATGCTTTTTAAGGTGAAACTTTATTTTTACTCTGTCCAAATCGTGTTGAATAAGAAAAATGGTTTTGCCTTTGGGAAAGACAACAACTTGGAGTCAAACTAAGCTTGCAAAATATATGGTCAATGAGAACACGCAAGCCTTAGGTGGAAGCATATACCAATGAATCTATTTAAAAATATACCATTAACATGTGTTAGTTAATTATATTGATTAATTAAGAATATTGCTTTCTAAATTACACCTAAAACATGTTTTGACTTAATAATGGTGTTTGAGATTCTAACTAGCTTATCACGCTTGCCATGCATCATTAATTTATTATTATATATGTGTTAGCTGAAAAGTTTGTAGGTTGAAACCAAAGCTTATAGCGTATAAGAAGCAGTTACTCGATTTTATTAATTTATTTGTTAAAAAATTATTAGCTTGTGTTATTGAACACAATTTTTCAATAATATAAATTACAGCATCTTTTTTATTTTCAGAATTTTTTATATGATTTTTTTATTAATTTAATCAATTTTAAACATGAAATTGAAATAACTTTTATATATAATTTTTTATGTAATTATATGTCTTTTATTACTATAACACACATCTTTTAATTTTTTTATATCAAAATGATATTTTTAAATTAATTATTCAATAAAAAGACTTTTACATAATAAACTTCTATGTATATAAAATAAAAAAGAATAATCTTTTTTTTCTTTAAACATACAAATAAAAGTAAATGTAGTATAATAGAAAAATGGGCAGAATTAATACAATAAAATATTTTTTTTTATCCTTTTTATTTATGATGTTTTTTGGACTAATATGATATGATAAGTACATTTTATGATAATTATTCGATGAAAAGACTTTTACATAATACACTTCTATGTATATAAATAAATAAGAGTAAATCTCTTTTTTTTTTAAACACACAAATAAGAATAAATGTTAAATGTAGTATATTATAAAAAAATGGACATAATTAATAAGATATTTTTTTTTATCTTTTTATTTGTGATGTTTGTTGAACTAATATGATAGAATAACTTGACAATTACATTTTAGGATTATATATATATATATATATATATATATATTAGTTAAAAATAGATATAATATGATATCATATTATATTTAATATATTATTTTAGTGTAAAATTTTTTTTATAAAAAATATGAGTTAAAATTAATATAAGTTGATTCAAGTAACAAGTAATTTGATATAATTTAATCAAGATTTTGAGTTCAAATTTTTATGAATAAATTTTTTTTAAGTAATAGACTTGTTTATTATATCTAAATGTGTGACTCGAATTAGATTCAGATTAAATCAGATAAAAAATTTAAAAAAAATTAGTTAAAAATATATATGATAAACACAGTAAAATTAAGTATATTAAAAGTCGAGTAAAGCTTATTTTGAAATTATAAATACTAAGAATTGGTCCCTCTCATCATGTTTATATTTTGCTTTTTATTTCTATGCTAGAGATTAATTTTAAGAACCTTTGCAAGTTCAAGCGTAATTTAAAGAACAGATACCAAGACTACAATTCAAAAAACTATAATACTTAAAAATATATTTAAATAAATATAGCATCATATTATTTAAAGTAAGTTATAGTTAAAATTTTAATTTATCATTAATTTCAAAAATATATAAGCTTTTAAAATCACTGAAACGCTCAAAAGTATTATCGTATGTTTTTAGATAAAAGGAAAATACTAACAATACACTTTTAATTATCATTAGTTAAAATATATTTAGATAAAATAAATTATCGTATGTGTTTGAACATTTTAAGAGTTGTATATTAAAAAAAGAAAAAAGAAAAAAAGAAAGAAATGAGACAGTAGATTTTATGTCTTTCTCTTTCGATATTATCACGTTGCTTTGGATCCTGACCTATTAATTACTGGTGTAAGACTAATTTTCATTTTAAAACCAAAAAAATTCGTATAATATTAGTCTTTTCTTTCAATTTAATTTTTTTAAAAGTAAAATATTATTTAAAAAAATTTAAAAATAACATTTATTATATAAAAATATAATAAACTTCTTTATCATAAAAAATTTCTCATCTTTAATAAAAAAAAAATAATTCATAGTTCTGTTTTTATTAAGATATCGAGAGAGAGAAAATATTTATTTATTTATTTCTCTTAAGATATTATTCAAATATTCTTTTACCGATATATGCATTTAAAGAATAATACATAAAATATTTATATTAATCGAGTAGTTTAACCTACAAATAAAAAATAAAATAGAAAATTTATTAAATAAAAGTCTCTACAATTGATATTATTTTTTATTTAGTTCTTAAAAAAATATAATTTAATCCTGATATAATTTTCTTTTACAATTGATATATTTAACATAGGTACTAGAATTAGGACTAAATAAAAAGAATGTTAAGTGTTGAAACTAAAATGAACAAATGCCAAAAGGCTTTTTTAACGTACAGAGATTAAAACATGGAAATTTCTATATAATTATATTTTAGTTTTTGTTAATTTAATTTTGAAATTTAAATATATGAAAATAATAAATTTTAAATAAAAATAACATATTTATTACATTAAAGATAAAAATTTATAAAAATAAATTTTTTTTATTAATAATTATTTACAGAATCTCACGAATTAAAATTAACATTTTTCAATTATTTTAGTGAATATGATTTCCTTGTCTAAGCACGTTTCATGCGTTGCTACCTAAACCGCAGCAAAGATAATATTTGAGGTATAACATATATTATTATTTTGTATATTTTTAAAATGATGCTTGCTATAGTACTATTAAATTTAAAAAGTATTTAATATTTTTTAAATTATATTAAGATATTAAAAAATATTATATTTTATTAAAATATATCATTAATTTTATTATTAAAATTAATAGTTATAACTATTTTGTATATATATAAGAGAATAGAATATTCTCTACAAGAAGAATTTACCATTTAAAAAAATACTAAATATATTAATTTAAAAAAGTAGTATTGTTAATTGATTGTACCGCTGGGTCGAAGACTTTGCATATTTTTTTAGTGTGTGAAATTCGGTTATGAAGGAACCCACGCGCAGGCGTGGCACTGACAGAGCAAACAAGCTGGGGAAAGGCGAGTGATGAAAACGCGCGTAGGCTTATTGAACGCCCGCGCAACGCAGGGGTTTGTCTGGTCTGTAACGCACGTTAGGTGAAGACAGACGCAGCACCAACGCGCTTAAATACTCGCTCCATTGGCATTTCCTCACACCTCAGGGTGTTACTATTCTTTCTCGATCGTGCCATTGCAACACATCCATTCATCTTTTTCCTTTTCTCAAGTGAGTACGTTACCATCTATCTGTTATGCTTTCCATTCTCACCCACGTCTACATTCCCAATGCCTAACCAAACTTGTCTTCAAATTTCGCACCATTACCTTCTTTTTAAACCCTTCTTCTTCTCCCTCTCATTCTCCCCAACACTCTCTCTTTTCCTTCTTTCTTCTTCCACTTCCATTCTCTACTCACATTCCCCCCCTTTCTTTTGTATGTTATGCTTCTTCTTTCTTCTCTGCCTCTCAATTTTCCATTTTTCTCTCTGTCTTGTTATTCCGATTATTGTTATGAAGTCAACAAATGTGTGAAATGAAAAAAAAAATAAAGATTAATTTACTGGGATTTTCAAATTAACTATTCTGTGAGCATAACCAATTTTAAATATATATATTTTTTATCTTTTCACGTTTATATGTATATCTTGGAAGAAGCAAAATTTTTATTAATTATTATTATTATTATTATTATTATTTAATGGGAATTGCGTTAAAATGTTGACATTGAACGGTTCGGTAACCGCTTTGACTTGTGAATATTTCGTGGTGCCTTCGTTTGGAATGTTTATTCGATCTTGTTGAAGTTTTTATTTGACCTGGTCGGGTTCTAGGGAGGCCACTTTTTCTTTCTTGGAAGGGTCGTTGCATGAATGGTTGATTCAGTTTTGTTTTTTTTTTTTTTGGTCAGTTTTTGCCGACTTAGCAATTTTTATACTGTTTTTTGATTAAGATGTTGCGTTGCGGTGCTGGTTTTTCGGGTTTTAGGACTAATTGCTTTTTGTCGTCATGATCATGTAATGTAAGCTCTTCTCAACCGTTGAATAAGAAGTTTAAAATATATTAAGAAATGGATCACAAAGTCAAATTGTATCAATCGATGCTCACTTTACCAGTTTTAGTGCATGTTTGATTCAGCTTATTTTTAAGAAACAGTAGCTTATTTCTTTTAGTCCAAGCTTTTGAAAAGTAAATGATTATTTTTCCAGAATTAAGCTGTACCAAACGTGCTATTAGGAATTTTCATTGATACACGCACAGTAGCGATATTTAGGTATGATTTATGTCATTTTAGAACCAGTATGTGTTAGGTCGATATGTATTATTTAAAGTTTGGCTTTTTTCTGTTTTATATTTATTTGCCTTAGGAGTTTAAAGGATGATGAAAAGATGGATTCAACCTGGAATGGCATTTGCATACTTTTGTTTCAATTACTTGGTTAGTTGATATTCAATGACTTCAAACTAATCACTTACATTATCATTATCTTCAGGAGAGCAGTGACCAGTAATCATTGAAGCAGTGTTTGGTTTTTTGTTACTGATAAAAGGGTGGTTCGAAGTGGAAATTCGGTAGACGTTAGTTCAATTTGTTCTCAATACCCCTTAAAGGCTTACATTGTTGCTGCACTGCAAAAGCTGTCCATAGACCTGGATCCAATGGACCTAAAGCCAAATCATACTACTGTCCTTGCTGATACTACTACAGCCTTGAGACGGTCAAGGCTAGGTGTACCTTCTGGTCAGTTACCTTACTCTCCTACAGGGGCTACCTTTCCTCATGGACCCTTGCTGGCAATTCCTAGGAAGAAGACCGGTATTCTTGACGATGTTCGTTCGAGTGGTTGGTTGGATGCCATGAAATCATCTTCTCCTACTCACAATAAAGTATCCAAGGATGTTAGCCATGGGATTGTGTCATCTGATGCTGATGCTGCTTATTTTACCTGGCTGGTATAACTTACTTTCCTCTATGTAACTTTTTGTGTTCAATACTTTTGGAAGTTTTGTTTATGATGTTTCCCTTTTTATTCCTTTGAATTTAACAGCTGAAGTTTCCGTCAGCACTTGCATCTTTTGAACAAATTACTAACTGTGCAAAAGGGAAGAGAATAGCGTTGTTTCTGGATTACGACGGGACACTTTCACCAATTGTGGACAATCCTGACCGTGCTTTCATGTCAGACAATGTATGTATTGTAGCATTCTCCTAAGATTTAGCGTCCAAATTTGTTATATTGCTGATTCTGGTCCTGTATCTTTTGGCAGATGCGTGCTGCTGTTAAAAAAGTGGCAGAATATTTTCCAACCGCTATAATTAGTGGAAGAAGCCGTGACAAGGTAGTTGGAGAATTTTATAAAACAAAACAATTTTCTTCCTCTATTTTGTTTCTATTTCATTTTTACTCACACAATGCAAATAACAAGCTTCCTTGTTGGTTATTAGTTTTGGCTTTTGATTTTAACCTTGATTATATTCCCTATTGGCTCAGGTATATGAATTTGTTGGAGTAAGTGAGCTCTACTATGCTGGTAGTCATGGGATGGATATTATTGGACCTCTTAGACAATCTGTTTCTGATCATCACCCTGACGGGATTATGTCTGCTGACAAGCAGGTACTGGTTTTCAAAGTTTCTAACTTTCTGGCATATGTTTTTGGATTCATATCTGTCATTACATTTCCTATCTAGGAGTAACATACTTCTAAATGTGCATTTAGTTTGATTTATAATCTTTTAATATCTCAGGGTAATGAAGTTAAGTTATTCCAACCTGCTGCTGAGTTCCTGCCGATGATTGATGAAGTATGTAATGTAAATTTGAATAATACCATACAATGAATCACCCTTGAATTATTTTTCTTTTCTGTATCAGAATGTCGTATCCTGATGAACTAATGTATGCACAGGTACGTCAGTTGCTCATTGAGTGTACGAAAGACATTAAAGGAGCAACTGTTGAAAACAATAAATTTTGTGTCTCTGTACATTACCGTAATGTAGATGAGGAGGTATTAACTTCTTTTGAGGCTTTTTTGTTAGTCGTATTAACATTAGAATGGGTAGTCTTTCTGCCTAAGATTACTCCCTCTTTTTACCAATTAATTTCATATTTCATCATGGTTGTAAGCATTTATTGTCTCTTACACTGTTTCATCTAATGTACAGAGTTGGGATATTGTGGGGCAACGAGTATATGATGTTCTAAAGGACTATCCACGTTTGCGATTAACACATGGGCGAAAGGTATTCTTTAGAGATTCAAAATTTTGACCCATTTTTTCAGGGTTCTAATTGTTATAGTACCTTTAGCAATTTATGTTTACTATTTTTCAGGTTTTAGAGGTCAGGCCAGTGATTGACTGGGATAAGGGAAAAGCTGTCACATTTTTACTTGAGTCTCTTGGTATGTTCATTGTTTTTATATTTAATGATTACTTTCTTAAAAGATCATAAATTTGTTTGCAGTAAATGACATAAAACATCTTTATGTAGAACTTAACGATGGTGATGACTTGCTAGCTATATATGTTGGAGATGATCGAACAGATGAAGATGCATTTAAGGTAATACATTGCTTAGCTTGTTATGATGCTATGCCTCAAATTGCATTTTTTTTTATTATTTTCCCCCTCATAGTCTGTGAAATTCTTGAATACTGATATCAGATGGACTGTTAACAGGTTTTGAGAGAAGTTAATAAAGGTTGTGGCATCTTAGTGTCCCCCGCACCAAGGGAAAGCAATGCAATTTATTCTCTTCGTGACCCCTCAGAGGTAATGCTATTGTAATTTACTTCCTATGTTTTCTATTTTTTGGATTGTGACTCCACATGTAGTTAGTTTTATTAGAATCCCATTAATCTAAATCTAAAAAAACGAATCTATTTGAGATAAATACTCTCGTGCTTTTTTTGTTTTGAAGTTTAATTTTGATATACTATCTAGGTAAAGATTTTTATATCATCAACTAGCTAGAAATCACCCTAAATGACTTTTAAAGTAATTATTATAAGAGTCAATGATTTTCAATTATATAGCAATTTATGATTGTATACAATATATGTCAATAATTAAGTTGCTTACGCAATGGAATACTTGTAGATTATTAGGTCTATCTGCTTGTTTATCAATTTATTGTTTTCTAATGACATAATTTTACCTGTTGTATGTGCAGGTCATGGAGTTTCTCACGTCTCTTGCAGTTTGGAAATCAAGCATTCAAGCTCGGTGAAAATCTTTACGTAGTGTATAGAGGAGAACATACTCCGCTATGCTGTATGTAAAAAGACAGCTTTTTGTTACGATTTTGGGTTTGGTAGGGGACATTCCCAGAGGTTTGCTGGAACATATTTGGGCTCAGAAGACCTCGGACAATAGCAACAACTTTGTCATTACCCAGTTGTTTTTGCTCAAAGCACGTGTGGTAGCTGTAAATTTCTGACTAATAATTATATTTATCTCGGAAATATTAGGGAAAATCCACTATAGAGGGTACTTTTTTTTCTCCCCCATCAAAAGTTTATTGTATTTATTTCATATTCTTTCTTCACTTTTGGTTACTGCCCCTAACCAGCTAATTGGGGATTAAATATGAAATTATTCTGGTTTTTCTTTGTCAAGTTAATTCTTTTTATTTGTAGATTGATACGATTATTTGTATTACCTATTTTATATCAATCTGATTAAGAAAATTTGTTCTGGTTATTTGTTCTGCCTTTTCTTTGTCTGGAGAAATTGTTCCTTTGATTTTTGTTAAGTATATTTGAGATACAAGTTTATAAAAAAAAGAGTTATATATATATAATCAAGGCTTATTTTACTGAGCAAAATTAGTTATATGGATCACATACATGACCCTATTGATCTTGTTAAAAATTAAATTTTAAAAAAAAATTAGTTAATTACTTTTCTTTTAATAATTTTATTTAAGATTATCTTATGTCTTCATTAACTTTATTTTTATCAAACTAATAATTATATAATTTACTCTTTTTATTGGTGTCTCTAACCGTCTTTTTTGTACATGATCAAACTATTTTAAATAATGTCTAGTTATCTCTTTTATTATAAGTGTTATTTCAATAATTTTTTATGATAAAATACAATAATTTTTTTTTATTTTACTGTCACAAATAACTCTTAAGTTATTTCTCTATTTTTATTGTTAAATTTGTATTATGTGAATTTGTTAATTTTTCGATTATTATGTATAATCAATCCTAAGTATTTTAATATAAAAATTTATGATATAATATTATTTTTAATTTTAATTTTTGATGCATGATTTTTATTTTATTTTTTTTTAAAATGACAGTAAATATATTTTATATTTCTTTCTACTTTGAATAAAAATTCTTAAATTCTAAAGTTTTTCTTCGCATGTATATTGTTCAAAATATGATGCTAAAATAATAAAACTCTTTCTCAAATTATTAAGATTCACAATATTATTTTATACAAAATTCTTTTTTTTTTAACTTTAAACTCTTTTCCTACATTGAACAACTAATTAGATGAAATTGATTTCATTACAAGTCTCACAATGTTTATCTATCTCTTCAAAACATTACATATATTTGGATAGAAGTTGACTCCGACATTGACTTATGACCTGATCTGCACCAGGCTTGACTTAGTTCAAGCCTTTTCATTATACAAAGTAGATCAAAAGTTTTTTGAAAACCTATTCAGTTAAAAGAACCATATTTTAGGTCATTAAAAGAGCTTTATAAACACTAACTACAGTGTTGTTAATTTGTCATTTTTGTCAGAGGTTAAGTTTGGTATAGACCAATACAGTAAATCATTATTCTTGTAAAAGCATTCTTCTTTGAACAGCAGCAACTCCATTCTTATTCAACGCTCTGAAATTGGAAAGCATTGCCCCGCAGCCTATATGATTAATTAGAGTTTCAAGTCGATGAAATGCAGTAATTTATGATGTGGAATAAGTACTATAAAGTGGTTAAATAAAATAAAATAAACCTAAGTTTTAATTTTAATGTATTTTTGGCATATTATTTACTTTATAATATTACTCTGTTATGCATGATCGCATTATTCTACTGAATATCTTGTTGATTTGCCCAATCCAATAGTGATTTTCAAAGTAAAATCATTATTAACAAAGCAGTTCGAGGAGTATACGGCTTTGAAACTACGTCAGCTCATTTCCTTATAACCGAAGATATATTCTTAAGATATAAAATATTCCAAATGTTTCTAACAAAAAAAAATTAAAAATATTCAAAGTTTTACTGTATTAATTATGATATTTAATTATCTATAGATTTTTTTAATTATTTTATTAGTAATTTTTACGAAACATAAGAGAGAAAAGGCAAAAGAAAGGTAAAAATATATTGAATAAAATAATAATAAATAAATTATAAGAGGAACAAAAGAACTTATATAGATAATTATTTTTTTAATTAATATAATTAATTTTATATTTTTAACCATGGTAATAATTGTTATGTTATAATATTTTTACTAGATTTTTTTTAAGAATTTAAAGAAAAAAAAAGGAGAGATACAAGGAAAAAAAAGAGAATAATTATTTTTAAAAATTTTAAAAATTTAAAAATACAAGTTTAGAGTAAGGATTCGAAAATTTTATATATAAAATTTTTTCAAATAAAGTTATTAACAAACATTCTCGATCTCTTTTTTTTTTCTTTAAATTTAACTGCCAAACAAATCAGAATACATAAAAATATAATTTTATACTAACTAACATTTTTGTTTGGAGTTTAAATATAACTTTGTCTTTGATTCATTTTTAGTGTGTCGTAGTACAAATAATCTTTAAAGGAAGAAAAAAGAGTCTTGTACATTGTAAAGCACTTAAGTACATTGCTTGTTCAATTATTTGGCATGAATAATAATGGGAAGCATGACCAATTTTGCTACTTGACTTTTTTAAAATTTGTAACTTCCTTTTAGTTTGTATATAATCTCATTCATAAAAACACCATTGTGGGGACTAATGATATTTTCATTAGTCAAGTCTTGTTTCTCCAATCTAAGAGACACATAAAAATAAGAAACATGGAGCCAACTTGAGTATAATTTCTATAAACAGTATATTTAATTTGAACTCAAAACTATTGGTTAAACCCAAAGAACCAGTATAATAGTAACTATTTGTGTTACATGATCGTTAACTATATTTATATTATGAAGACCTTTTTCAAAAAAATCTTTTTATTAAAGTAATATGCAATAATAAAAATTAAATCAACTTATTCTTACTTACCATAGATATATATTCCTAGAACCAAAATACATGTATAATAGTGTTAGTCATGATGGTGCATATTTTATTGTTAAACCTATATTATTAAAATTAAAGCTCACTATATAAAAAATAAATAGTATAATGTTGATATTATGTAACTTTGATTATATACTTTTGTTATTTGAGACTTTTTAAAATAATTTTTAAATTTATCAACTTCTATATTATAAATAAGAATCTCTTATTTAGAAAGTGATATATGCAAACACAAATGATGATGGATGATAATAGTTTTTGATAATGACAGTATTAAAAAAATAAATAAATAAATGAATGATTTTAAAAATAAAAGACTAAAATATTCAACAAATAATAAATAAAATAAAAATATATATCACAATGTATATAATATTATTTTTATTATACGATCAGTTTTTTAATTACCTAACATAATATATAAATATTTTGTTAATAGTATTAACGACGAATTTTTTGAAAGATTAAAACGATAGATAAAAAAAAATTTAAATTAATATAATATTTTTAAAATTTTAAAAACTAAAATATTTGTCACTTATTATTTCAATGATTAAAAATAATAATTTTAGTTTATTTTATATTTATAAAATTTTATTTTCTAATTATTTAATTATATATTTTTTATTTTAAATATAATAATTATACCTTCCAAAGGTCACTAAATTACTTTCCTTAAAATGCACGTAATAGCACATAATGATAAGAGAAAGTTAACTTATAATTATCTGTGAAAAAAAAATCATATGAAAAATACCAACAGCATATCTAAGTGAAAAAAAGCCTCTGTAAAATTGCAAGTCTAAGAAAATCATGAATACATCAATACTAATAGATAAATTTTATTTAATATTTCATTACTTTAAATAACAATAGATATTAAAAGTAAGGTTATTAAATTTTTTTAAAAATTAAATAATTTAAAATCAAGAGTCATTATATGTATTATTATCATGTATTTTATTTAAAATTTAAATTCTATAAATATTATGCAGTAAAATAATAAATATTATTATAGAAATCAATGATTCTTGTTGATATAATAATTCATGATTGGATTACAATGTAAAAAGTTTTACAATGTATTTAAGTTAAACTTTTTTCTTAACATTTTTTCTTTTTTTAAATTACAAATAATTATAATTTTAAAACATTTTAAATAAAAAAATTCTTGAGAAAAGTCAAATAGATTCTTAGTTTATTGAATTTTTAAGTGGTAATAATAAATCAAATAAAAATGTAAAAATTAACCTTTGAAACTTTCAACTTTGAAAACCCTCAAAAGCTGATATAAATACTAGAATATTATTTGATTAGATTTGAAATTCTCTTATCTGTCTAACACTAATTGGAAAAAAAATGTAAACATTAATTATAAAATTGAGAAAAGTAAATATTTATTTCAATGATTAAGCAGTGAAAGAAAAAATATTGATTTTATTTGATGTAAAACATTAGATGATAAATACAAGGATTTAAACTTAAGAAAATTTTAAATTATTTAATTATTTATGAATATTCAGTTCATATTAAAAAATTGAATATTAATTAAAAATATTTAGAAAAATTAAATTTTTATTTAATATATTACTTAATTAATGAAAAATATATTGATTTATTTCATAGAAAGTTTAAAAGTCATTAAAAGTCACATGTCATTAAAAGAAAGCATAGGTGATTTTATTAGAATGACAGCAAGTAAAATAATTATTTCATTAAAAAAATATAATTTATATTATAATAATAATAATAAATTACATTATTTTCAAGCATTCTAAAATATTTTTTTAAATCATAAAAAAACAAATGATTTAAATTTAACAAATATGAAAATTAACTATGATTTGATATTTTTATAACGAAGAAACAAACATTTAATATCTAAAGTAAATTACGGTTAATACTACTCTCTCTTTTATTTTTAAATAATATAAATCCTTTAATTAAAATGCATCATAATTTTTTATTTGAATTTTTTATTAAAATATTATTAGAAAAATTACAGTATAATTTTTATTAAAAAGCACTTTTTATAATTAAATTTTTATTTGTATATCCTAATTTTCTAACTATTTCACATTTCATTTTTTTACATGTATTAAAATTATAAGTCATTTATATTTTACATTTTTATTATTTGATTTTAAGAAGTTTTATAATAATAATACAAAGTGTTTGAGTCTCTAATGAAATGGTCCCTTGATATCTTTGGGACATGTATTCATTCATTTCTTACTCTCTGTTTGTCCCCTCTTCCAATCATACTGGAAACCACCGTTCCAATCGAACTTCCCATACCCATTATTGGTTGGACCCGAATCTCTATATCTGCCATTCTCCATTCCACATAAAGCCTTTATAATCACTCCACACTCCAAAGTCCTCTCTATAACTTACCCATAACATGGAGTCCAATCATGCCCACCCACACACCCCCTTGTTGACCCTTCACTCAACACCATCCAAGGGGATCATTGGGATTTTCTGTTCCATTGTTTTTCTAATGTCATTGGTTGCATTCACCATGAACCACGCCCACAAATCCTTTCAAGAATTGCCAAGAGGGGTTCCTCAAGGGGTCTCAGCCAACTCCAACCCTTCTCTTTCCCATAAAGTTTCATATAATTGGACCAACGCCATGTTCTCTTGGCAAAGAACAGCTTTCCATTTTCAACCAGAAAAAAATTGGATGAATGGTAAGTCTATCTTCTTCCTTTTTAATCATTATTCATGGAATGGTAGGTGAGATATTGCTCCATCTTTAACTTTCCAAATGCCACTTTATTCCAAGTTTGTTTTATCTTCATTTGGGTTTGTCACAATGTTGTTAATTAAGATGCTAATCAACAATGTCGCATTGACCCACTTCTGTTCCTGTTTTGTGGGATGTTTGGTGGAATTGGCTTCAGATCCTGACGGTAAGTTTATATTTTAATTTGTATCTTCTTTTTCTGTTGAGTTTCCCTTACTCATTTGCTTAACTCAATAATTTAGGTACATTACTATCAACCATTATTAATTTTAAAAATATAGCTCATTTAAAGTGAATATAAACACTAATTTTGCAGCAGTGAAAATTTTAATATAGAAATGTTGCAGGTCCACTTCTCATATCCAGTTATCCTCCCACAGAAAATATATTCAAATTAGTTTCATCATAATAGTAACATTTAATTATAAAAACACAAAATAAATAAAATTATACCATGCATAGCAAGGGCAGGCAGACACTTACCTTAAGATTTTGTTCACCTACTTATTAATGGAATGGTATTAATAATAATAACATGCTTTTTATAATATATCTTTTATTATTAGTTAAAATTTATTAAAAATTATAAAAAAATATTTTTTATTTTTAAATTAATATTTTTCTTTCATATTTTTTTAATTTCTAATAAATTTAAGCTAACGTTGAAGAATATGTTATTAACATTCTTCTCGTTTCTTATTATTCACATGTATGGTAATATACTATTTAATAAAAGAATATTAGCAATATATTATTTAAAATATTTTTAAATTTATTTTTAAATTTATTAAAAATATAAAAATCATAAAATATCTTATTTTTTTTACTTCTAAATTAATATTTTTCTTTCATATTTTTATAATTTTTAATGAATTTTAATAAATAGTTAAGAAGATATTAGAAAATAATAACAAAATGCCATGCATGGAGTGAACAATCATGAATAATTATGAGCATCCAATAAAAAAATTCATCATTCTCTAATAATTGTAAACAACCCTAAGCCATATTATCACTAAGAGAAATCAATAAATCTTAATTTAATTCAGTTTCAGAAACTTGGAAAGCTTTCTTTTTCTTCTTTTTTTTCCCCCTTCAACTAAAGAAAAAAAAATGTTGTAGAACCACACACAATCAAAGAGTCTTTTGAAAAAAAATTAAATTGAAAAATTAAAAGACATGTATTCATGCATATTTGAGAAATAGAAACACAAAGGTAAACACATGATCTCAACCTTGACCTTGTTTATGTTGACCACCATCTAAATATTCATGATAACCATATTTAAACTTAATCCAGCATTGCATTCATCAACCAAAAGTGAAACTATGACTTCACAGTGTTTAATTATTTAAGATGTTGAAGTGGGAGGTGAGGAATATGATTTGGCAACTTGAGATTGACAGCAATTGGGATTGAGATATTGTGATGACACATTTTTTCTTCTACAAAATCTTTAACTACATTTTATCATTACTCCCTAATGGTGAGTTATGTCAACCACTAAATTATAGACAAAAGATATTTTTAGAGATTATTAAGGCATTTTAAATTTTCACCTTAACATTCCTAGGAATCAATTTGGGCATTGTTCCTTTTTCATGACATCTCTTTTGACACATGATCAATTTTACATATCATTAACGAAATATTTCAGTATTCTATAATTGTTTCTTAATAAATTGATAGACAAAGAGAAACTCAAGAAACTATCAAAGGTATTTTAAATTTTAAAAAATTAAAATGTCTGAGTTTACCAATCTCAAAAACTAATTTGAAAGTGTAAGATAATAAGTTTAAGAATTCTAATTTGAAGAGTAGAAGATAAAAATTAAAATAATTTTAGTAATGTTAAATGAAATTGTCTAAGTTACTTTATGAAATAAATAAACTCAACTTAAGTGTACTACTAAAACTAAAACATTGTATTAAAATTTATATGAACTTTTTATTTATTTTTTTATAAACAAAATGTCAAAGTAGTACATGCTTAATTCTTTTGAAGTAAAGTCTCATCTTTAAATCTTGCATATAAAAACATTCAAAAGTTAATACCATCATGTTATAGATTTTTTCTCCTCAAGTAGAATAATACCTTAGTCTGCACCAAGTATTCCATAAAATTAGAATTTAAAATTATTCTTTTATTTCTTAAAGAACTTATAAACTTCATAATTATAAATTCAAGTTGTAATTCTATATTTAATTCCGTTGGCCAAAAGGCACTGAGTGAAAATTATGTATTAATTTAATTAATAAAAAGTGAACCCAGATGGTTTAGTATAATCAATATGATGTTTCCGTGATAATCAGAATAATGTTTTTAATGTACTTAAACTCGTGGAGTATTATATATGTTCCATCATGTTTACCTAATTTAATATATTGCTCAATACATTGATAAATGAAAAAACATGGGATAAGTTTATAATTTTGTGTTTGTTAGTGACTTTTAATACGTGTTTAGATTACTATTTATACACTTGAGTTTAATTTTGTAAAACTAATTATACTGAAAATAAATTTAAAGTGATGTAATTTATATTTAATTTTTTGAAAATTTATAATAATTCAGTATAAATTTTTTAATTATAAAATTATTTCTAATGTGAGTTTGGAGGAATTTTTTTTTTAAAAACAACTCTAAATCTTGGTACGATAAAATAAATGTAAAATCAAAATATAATTTTAAGTATGTTTGAAAAATAATATAATATAAAATTACGTTTTAACATAAAAATTATAATTATAATATTAAAATAAATATAAAAGAAAACTAAATATTAATGCATGTACTTTTCTTACAAGTATAAATAAAGTTGGTAAAATAAACTGGCCTAATATACTGGACCAAAAAAATCTGTTAAATGAATGAGTTTGAAATTTAAAAAATGCTCGTGAGATAATTATTTCGATTTAATCTAAATAAGTTTAGTACTCAGTAGGATTTTAATCAAGTTGACTTATACAGACTCAGATAGCCTACGTATATATAAAATGGTTTAATACAAAAAAAATTTGACAAAAAAAAAAAAGCTATTACGAAATTAACTTAAAATAGTTATTACAAACATTGATGTATTTTATGAAATGAAACATTTTTAAGTAATTGTTCTTCGTTTTATTCTTTCTTTATAATTTTAACACTATTTTAATTGTTTTAATAAAATACTAAAATAGCCAGTCACTAAGAATGTTGTATGAAATGTGGTACTTGCTTCTCGTACAACACTCTAAGATTCTTGATGTTTGGTTTACATAAAACATGTGATTAGGAAGATGAAAGGGAAGAAAATTGACATTAAAGTGTGATTGCAGGTCCATTGTTTCACATGGGATGGTACCATCTATTTTATCAATACAATCCTGATTCAGCTGTGTGGGGCAACATTACATGGGGTCATGCTGTATCAACGGACATGATTCACTGGCTCTACCTCCCCATTGCCATGCTACCTGACAACTCCTTTGATATCAATGGTGTATGGACTGGCTCCGCTACGATTCTGCCAAGTGGCAAAATCATAATGCTTTACACAGGCGACACCGATAACTATGTGCAAGTCCAAAACCTTGCCTACCCCGCCAACCTATCTGATCCCCTTCTACTTGATTGGGTCAAGTATGCGGGTAACCCGGTCTTGGTGCCCCCACCCGGCATCGCCCCCAAGGATTTTCGTGACCCGACAACGGCTTGGATTGGGCCCGATGGAAAATGGAGGGTCGCCCTTGGGTCAAAGAAAAGAAATATGGGCCTTTCATTAGTTTACACAACCACGGATTTCATCAATTTTGAGCCCAATGATCACTACTTGCATGCGGTTCCGGGTACGGGTATGTGGGAATGTGTGGACTTTTACCCGGTTTTGGTAAACGGGTCTAAGGGTTTGGACACCTCGGTTAATGGTCCACATGTTAAGCATGTGTTGAAGGCTAGTATGGATGACACAAGAGTGGATCATTATGCACTAGGCACCTATTTTGTTGAAAATGATACATGGGTGCCCGATAACCCACATCAAGATGTGGGTATTGGGTTGCTTTTGGATTATGGAAGATATTATGCTTCTAAGACTTTTTATGATCAACAAAAAGATAGACGGATTCTGTGGGGTTGGATTAATGAAACTGATACCCAATATGATGACTTGAGAAAGGGTTGGGCATCTCTTCAGGTTTGTCGTTTTGTTTTTTACACATGCACAATCATTTTCTAGTACAACTTTTTATCCTAAGGAGGAGCTGTAGTTTTTTTTTTCATAGGTACAAGGCCAATTTAATAATCTTACAAATGATCAATTTAATTTAACCTTTTAAACATATTTTATGAACAATGTTTGAAGGTAGCTCTTTGTTTGACACATAGCTCACTTTGGTTAAACTTCTACTTAAAAGAGGTAAGATGAATACATTTTTTCTTTTAAGTTGAAATTTTAATTTATGTATTTAAGTTTTAAATATGTTAAATGAGATTACTTCTTTAAAGTAAAAGAGCAGAAGATGATTTTAACATAAAGAAGGAATTTGATCCATTTTACTTCTCTATTTTTTTCCTTCTATAAATACTTATTAAAAACCTTATCTAATCCGAGAGATAATGATATAAATAACCGACTTTGAATTCTTTTTTTCCCACATTTTGGTGAATAATTTGACATCACATTCATTTGGCAAGTCTGAAATTCATATGGCAAAAGATGTCTAGAAAGAAAGAAGGTTTTGCAGTCTTTACATGTGTGAGTTTATTAACTCACAAGTTTATGTGAATTTAAAATCTGCCCACATTTTTTGTTCTATCAGACAATTCCGAGAACAGTGTTGTTTGACAACAAGACTGGGACTAATTTGCTTCAGTGGCCAGTAGAAGAAGTAGAAAGCTTAAGACTAAGCAGTGCTGAATTTGAAGGAGTGGTGGTTAAGCCTGGCTCTGTTGTGCCACTGAACATAAGCCTCGCAACACAGGTTTGTTTATAGAATATATAAATTTCTCATATATAGATTAATACATCAATTTAGCCGCAGGAATTTTGAGTATCCAATAATTTAGTGCTTTACAAAAATGTTATTTTAGTCTCCAAAATAACCTAACAGTCATTTCAATCTCTGAATTATACATCGACAACTGTTGTTTTGGTCCTCGAAATTATAACAATAAAGACTAAAATGACTTAAATTTGATCATTTTAGAGATAAAATGATATTTTAATAGTTTCAGGACTAAATTAACTAATAATTATAATTTAATGGACTAATCAACAAACCCTTCATTTTCCAAAAAAAATTTACAGTTGGACATAATTGCTGAGTTTGAGATTGAATCATTAGCATCCAAAGGGCTTGGGAAGGACAACGTAGGTTGTGGAAGTGGTGTCACAGAAAGAAGTGTTTTTGGACCATTTGGCCTTTTGGCTATTGCAGATGACACACTTTCTGAATTAACACCAATTTATTTCCGGCTATCTAATATTAGCCTTGGTAGTTCAACCACATTCTTTTGTGTTGATGAAACAAGGTAGGAATTTCAATTTGCTATTTCAGATTTTTCTCCTAAAAAAAATTGTGGTAATTAGTAATAAGGTGTTGCAGATCATCCAAGGCTCCTGATGTAGCAAAGCCAATTTATGGAAGCAAAGTTCCAGTCTTCAGTGACGAAAAATTATCAATGAGGGTGTTGGTAAGTGTGAATAAGATAGTTCATACTTGTACTTCGTTTTAGTTATGTAATTTTAGAAAGTGTTTGTTGTCATATTTATGTATTTAAGTGATTAATTTTTTTCCAAAATATTCAGACTATTACTATGATCACAAGAGAGAAAAAACATTTAAGACAAAAATTACTTAAATGTAAGAGTAACAATAGATACACTCAAGCTAGCTTTTGTGACAATGAACTTAATTTTCAATGTGATTAGGTGGACCATTCAATAATTGAGAGCTTTGCTCAAGGAGGGAGAACTGTGATCACAGCAAGAGTTTATCCAACAGAAGCAATATATGGAGCTGCAAGATTATTTCTATTCAACAATGCAACTAATATAAACATTAAGGCCTCCCTAAAGATTTGGCTATTGAACTCTGCTTTTATACGCCCCTTTCCCTTTGATCAGAGCCTCTTAGAAGTTTAGAATGTACTTTTGCATCCTATTGTGATATTCCTGTTACCATAGAGCAAGAAGCATACACGAAGTTAATAAATTTTGGTTGAACCAACTTTAAATTTGGGATTTGCTAGAGCAATCTTTCCCCTTCAAATAGTGAATTTTCAACTGTTGGAGATGGAGTAGATTCCTAGTTTCACCCATTAGTTTTTCTTATTTTAACTATTAAAAAATGACACTGCAGGTGATGTCTATCAACTTTTATCTTTTCTACACATGTGTATCCAAAAGAAACACTGCACTTAAGAAAGGAAAAAAAATTTGATTTCTTCTTGTGTTAAAGAATTATTTTTATTTTATGCAATTATGTATTATTGAAAAATACTAGCTACACACTTAATATACTTTTATTATTAAATGAAATGTTTGAGAATTATCAAGCTAGGTCTTTTTCTTAATGAACCACACTCATAATTTTGTAATTTTTAATAAATTTTAACTAATTAATAATAAAAAGTAAGTTGAAAAAATGTATTATAAAAATTGTTGGTAACACTCTTCTATTTTATTTATTGTAGTAATTTTTTTTTCTAAAATAAATCATCACGGTAAAGAATTTAATTAGCATTGCACACTAATACTGATAAAAAGGAGTGATAGTAAAATGTGACAATTTTTTTTTAAAAGAATGAAATCTTAATTATTCATTAAAGATAAGAATGCCTTCAAATATTATGTATTATATATATGTAATAATAATTGTTAAGTTTTTTTTGGTGAGAATGGTATAAATTTAAAGCAATTCTTACACTATTCAACAATTTTATTATATAATTATTTTACAAATTCTACTAGTATATTGAAAGTTTCTATCAACATAGGTTATGTTTGTAAAATTATATAATTATAAAAAATTATTTAGTATTTCATTAATATACATTAAGATTATGATATTAATATTATATATTCTTTGGAAATACGTAAAATATAATTTGATTATACTTTTACAACTATAACATGACATGTACAACCTAAATGGCCTTAGACTTAACAGGAGGTTGAATTAATTTTGAAACACTTTTTCTAAATATTAAAATTTTTGATAAACAAATTTTAAATATTTGATAGATAATGTGTGATGGCATTATTCTATAATTAGTAATTTTGGTGGGTTTAATATTGTCGGTTAAATGTGGTGAGCTGACCGCACACTTTTTATGTAACAGAAAGTTAGTATTATATATAAGTAGCTTGTTTTTTGGGTTCTTGTTAATATTTCAAATCATAGCATATATGGTATGTAAAAACAACTTTTAGAAAAAAAAAGGAATATTCACTAATTATCTCTCTTAATTTTTTAGTGTTTTCTTTCTCTGTGATCATCAGAAGGTTACTTTATTTTGATTTTCCCTGTTCACTGAGTTGGGTACAACAAAATTAATTAAAGTTCCTTGCATCCAAATATTCCTGTCATAATTGGTATTAGATTTCGATCCTTGATACGTTTCCATGGCTGACGCAACGAGATCCCAATCAAGCATCAAGAGGTGGAACGCGCTTTGACTCGAAAGATTAATGACTCCAATGCTGCAATGCAAGACAAGATAGATCAGCATAATGCTTGTTTAGCTGAAATCAAAACTTTGCTCACTGCTACACACACTAGTTTATCCACTGGTGACCACTCCAAGAGCCACCAGGAGGCGCATCGTTTTGAGCAATCAACCAATCAACAAACGTCTTTTGTGCCACACTATGACCAGACTAATTCATATCACCAAAACTTATATGCTACACGTATTTCTAAGATTGAGTTTCCTTGATTTGACAGTACTAGACTCAAGGAATGGTTATACAAATGTGAGCAATTCTTCTCTCTTGATAACACCCCCGGAGTCCAAGGTTCGACTAGCTTCTCTGAGTACATTTTAGATATTACATTGCAATTTGGTGCTATTTATGAAGATCTGTTGTCTACTCTAATTTAGGTCAAACAAGTGGGACGAGTGCATGATTATATTGAAGCATTCGAATTAGCTTTAACCCAAATAACCTTACCCCCAGAACATTCTTTGAGCATTTTCTTGGTTGGCTTAGAACATAAAACACAGATGCATGTTAGAATGTTTAACCCCACCACGGTTGCTTAAGTGGCAAATCTAGCTAGACTCCACGAAGCATCCCAACCCATCTCCAAACACTACCCTAACCCACCTTCCTTCTCCACGCACTCATTAGGAACTAAAACCAGTCCAACCACATCTCAACCACCTATATTACCAACCCTATCACAACCTTACGATAAAACTCATCCTAAACAAACCACCTCATTCCTACAATATTGCTGAAATAGCTGATCAGAGAGCTAAAGGTTTATGCATGTTCTGTGATGAACTCTTTGTTCCTGGCCATCAACTCAAACATAGGAGAGCTCAGTTGTTTGTAATGAAGCTTGATGATGTTAGGAAACTACACTAATTTTTTCCATGTTTAGATTAGTGGAAACAATAAATGAGGAGTAATAGCACACACAAATTGATAACGGAGTTCGGCTAATTATGCCTACGTCTCTGGGCTGCTGCAGACCTTTTATAGAAAGGAGAAATATACACTGTGTTTATATACACTCACACTCTCTCACAAACCCACAACCCAATTATAACCAAGAGTTTCTCTCTCATAAATTTTTCTCACACTAGAAAATTTCTCTAACTCTCAAATGCACTCACTGCGTTGGAATGAATTTTCCTTTAGCTCCAATGAGTATTTATAGAAGCTGGATTCATGTGTGTATGCATAACAACAATTATCAACAAAGGCTGCCCATGATTTTCTCTTCACCAAAAACAATATTCCAAATTCAAAGTTATTATACTTTGGGTGGCTGGCATTAAATTTAGACGGTGGAATAGTGTGGCTAGGAATATAGGCCGGTGGATCTAACAATCTCTCACTTGAAGACTAACTTCAGTTAGTCTTCACACCTCGATCATGCAGCAGCTTTCTCTGGTTTGTCATTCTAGCAGGCCAACTGAAGTTGAGCACAACTTCAGTTTGTCAATAGTCACCACCTTTGTCAACATGTCTGTTGGGTTGTTACTTCCTTGAATCTTTCTCAGCGTTAGTACCTCATCCTAAAGCAAAGATCTGATGAAGTGATAACGGAGGTCAATGTGCTTCGTTCTGGAGTGAAATGAGGAATTCTTTCCCAGATGTATTGCACTCTGACTATCACTGTACAAAGCACTCTTCTCTTGGATGAATCCCAACTCTGTTAACAATCCTTGAAGCCATATTAATTCTTTGCTAGCTTCTGTTACTGCGACATACTCAGCCTCTGTAGTGGATAGAGCAACAATTTTTTGTATTTGCGATATCCAACTAATAGCTATAGTACCAACAGTAAATATGTAACCAGTGGTGCTTCTTCGGTGATCAACTTCACCTGCAAAATCTGCATCTACGTAGCCTTGTACCTTTAACTCACATTTACTAAAGCACAAACATTTTTCTTGAGTGCCTCGTAGATACTTTAAAATCCATTTCACAGCTTCCCAATGAGCTTTTCCTGGATTTGACATGAACCGGCTTACAACTCCCACTGCATGGCCAATGTCTGGCCTTGTACAGACTATTGCGTATATCAAACTTCCAATGGCTAAAGCATAAGGGATTTTAGCCATTAATTCTTTTTCTTCATCCGTCTCAGGGGACTGATCCTTTGATAGGCAAAAATGACTAGCCAAAGGTGTACTAACCGGTTTGGCATTGCTCGTGTTGAATCTTTGCAAAACACGGTTGATGTACTCCGCTTGAGATAACTGCAAAGTTTCCTTTTGCTTATCTCTCGTGATTTGCATTCCAAGGATCTTCTTTGCTGGACCCAAGTCTTTCATGTCAAACTCTTTTGACAATTGCATCTTCAAGTTTCTGATCTCAGCCATGTCTGGACCTACTACTAACATATCATCAACATAAAGTAGCAAAATGATATAACAAGAGTTATACCTCTTGAAGAAACAACAGTGGTCAGCATTGCACTTCTTGAAACCTTCCCTGTGCATGAAGCTTTCAAACTTCATATACCACTGTCTTGGCGCTTGTTTTAGGCCATACAAACTCTTCTTTAATCTGCACACCATATGCTCATTTCCTTTCTCTAAGAAACCTTCAGGTTAGTGCATGTAGATCTCCTCATCTAGATTTCTGTGAAGAAATGCAGTCTTCACATCCAACTGCTCCAAGTATAGCTCTTTGCTGGCAACAATACTTAACACAGATCTGATAGTATTGAGCTTCACAACTGGTGCAAAAATCTCTGTGTAGTCAACTCCTTCCTTTTGCTGGAATCCTTTTACAACTAGTCGAGCTTTATACCTCTTAGAGCCATCATGCTCCTCATTCACTCGATACACCCATTTGTTGTGAAGTGCCTTCTTTTTCATAGGTAACTCTGCTAGTTCCCATGTTTGATTTGAGATCAAAGACTTTATCTCGTCTTTCATGGCAAGCTCCCACTTGCTTGCATCTGTAGTCTGATATGCTTCTGCATAATCTTCAGGCTCTCCTCCATCTGTCAACAACATGTAGTTCATGTATTTCCTGTTAGGCACAGGAATTCGAGAGGACCTCCTTAATTCAGGGGTTGGAGTATGATGCTCTGTTCTGTCACACTGTTGCCCGCTGCCTCTTTCAGTTGTTTCCTCTTGAGGACTCTCAACTGTAGGACTTTCTAGGACATCGTCCACCTCTGCATAAACTGGCCTACTCGGTTCTGAGTTGCTGGCGCTTGTATTTTGCTTGTTCTTGTATATCACTTTTTCGTTGAAGATCACATCTTTACTGCGGATCATCTTTTTGTTTTCATCATCCCAAAGGCGGTAGTCGAACTCATCTTCACCATAATCGATGAAAGTACACTTCTTTGATTTGGGATCAAGTTTGTTTATGTTTTGATCACTAATATACACATATGCTACACAACCAAACACTCTGAGATGTGAGAGTTTTACCTCTTTTCCACTCCA